AGCCAGAAGTGTTCATTTATTTTTTCAGGACTGTAGCTCATCTGATATTGCTGTGGCTGACAACCACAACAATTGCCGTTTGCCCATACGGCCATCAGCGTGAAGAGCAGACCGGATGGGTTGCTTTGTTTTCCCCAACCAGCAGAGCTGTGGAAGCTGAGAAGGTGGATTTGTACAACACATGAGCTATTAGAAGCCCCTGAGCTATTGTGCCATATGGTGGACTATTCTATGTGGGTTAGGGGAGGGTGGAACCGAGGGGTGCTGTTAGGTAAGCTTTTTACGTGCCTGGCCGGGGAAGCTGTGGGTTATATTACAGCTCGCGCCTGGACCTGGTGTCACGAACTGGCTGTAATGTCAAACATGCCCTTGAGTTTAACCCGGTGAAGTTTCCTTTATCACATGTACAAAGGAGATATAATAATCAGAGAGAAACAGGTTACTACGCAGAAAGTTAATGTAGTGACGATCAGCTCGTTTTTGGGTTCCACCTTTTTGTGAAAATTGTATAAAGAAATTTAAGTACGTTGACAGAAACCAAGTTGGGCTGAGAGAGACTTTTGGTCTGTGCGAGTTTACCACAGCATTGTCCGCAGGCTAGTCCACAGAGAGTGTCAGGTCCTATGAAACCACAGCGGCAGCTACCCCAGACAGAAAAAAAATCTCAGGAATGAACAAGGATGGGAGAGAGCCGAGAGAGAGACAGAGATTGCCTGACATACTAAGCATTACCATAATTGGCTTTTCTACATGATAGGACAGAGGAAATAATAATGTCATTTTATTTACAGCCTTCTCTCTGCTGAAACACGCACACACTCATGCACAACGTACAGGTCAATGACACACACTGATCAGGCCTGTCCAAAGCCATCAGAGGTGAGTGGCAGGGAATGGAGGGGCCGGTGACAAAGCGAAACGGGAGAGAGAAATAAGACTGCCACGCCAGAGCTCCTGTTTTGAAGGGCCGCTAGACGCTGTGAGGGAGCCTCGGCGGCCGCCCTGCTGCGGGTGCAGCACTCCGCCACGTAGGGTAAATCAGGAGGCTGAAAGCTGGCGGAATTGGACATTAGCACTGCAAATGAGAGCTGGGATTGCCCTCTTCTCTGAGACAACATGAATAAATGAAGAAGGTTTAAAGGGAAGGTGTGTGCAGCGTGTGTTGTGTGTATGTACAAGTGACTGAGGAGGGAAAGAAGAGCTACGCTGGCTGTGGCAGTGTTGTGTCGCACTCAAGTTACTTAACAGCCGGTTAGGGAGTTAGTTTTATTATAGATTGATAAAAAGATAAAAAGATGTTTTTAAACTATGAGGTTAAGTTAAAGAAGAGTAAAAAGTAAGACTACGTTAAGTGTAATAGTCAAAATTGTTTAACTTTTAGCATGAAGCTTCTTTAGCCATAGCTGTAATGCTTATGTGTGCACAGTCTTGGGTTTTAGATATATTTGAGTGATGTATCCAAACATGGCAACGATCACCAAAACTATACTTAAGTGTTTATTCAGCCTTGTTATAACTTTGTGTTTCAAACTTGCATTAAAAAATATGAGGTTTTTCAATTGTGGACCTCACACGAGCTTATTGGCTTTAGGCAGGCATGTAGTTTTGGCAGAGGAGTGCAGGTTTGCATTGTGTGTGTGTGTGTGTTTGTGAGACTGGGGGATGTCCTACTGTGGTGTCACCTGTCTACAGCAGGAAATCCTGGACTTCGGGCACAACAATAGTGACAGGCTCCTCTCCAGACACAGATGGCTTCGCTTTCCCCCCACTAGCCACATTGCATCTCTGCTTGCACCTGACACACTGTGACACTTGTGACACACACAAACACGCGTGCACACATAAAACTGATCAGCCACACCTAGCTTAGGCAAACACGCACATGCAATGACAGAAATGGCAGAAGCTGATTTCTCACACCTCTCTCACCTATCTGCTTTGCTGTTAACTTGTTTCGCTGTCATTTTTTTCCCCTGTCAGATATGCACACGCATAAATGCACGTACACATACACACACACAAACACACACACCTCTTGTTCGCTGGCCTAAACACATCTTTTTTTTTCTCCTCTCTTTTCAAAACTTCCCCTCTTTTCCCTATCCTCACTGACAGCACAAAGTGGGCTTACGTTTTTGACTGACAACCACAACAGACACTCTCCCCCCCCCGTTTTAATCCCCTCCCTATCCCTCTCTCCCTCCCTCCCTCCCTCCCCGTTTCCTCTTTTGTTCTGAGTGACGCTCGAAAGCCGCCATGTCAGCATCTTTTCCATCTCTGATTGCCTTATTAGCCGGCGGTGGCACCCGCAGCTTTACTGACACAGATGGTGAAGGAGCAGGCTTGAGTAAAGGGGGGGGGAGAAAAAAATGGCTGACTTGTGTTTGTTGTTGTTACTTTCCCCTCCCACCTCTTCTCAGGCTTGTTTGTGTGGACACTGACACCTCAGGCTGACACTGACACACTCCTGACACTGATGCCTGTCAAGGCAACATACGGAGGATAGCAGGGAAAGGGAAGAATTTAGTGGTGGTGTGCCTTCTATGTGTGTGTGTGTGTGTGTGTGTACTGCTGTCAGGTTTCTCTCACTTGGTCTGCTGATTTGTCTTTAACTACTTTCACAACTTTGAATGGGTTCACTTTTGCATTTATTTCAATGCAGCAGGCTGCAGCTTGTTAGGGAGAAAAGGAAGAGTTCAAAGAAGTCCGTGCAGCTGCTTTGGGAAAATGTTTAATTCTTCTTTTAGTGATTAAATGAAAAAAATACTTCAGTATATCCTGTGGACAATTAAGAGCACACAGTTGGGAGCAAGAGAAAGAATGTATTTTGATCATGCACTGTTTCTCACACACACACACACACACACCGGGCAGCTGTAGGACCTCCAGCTTTTCCCAGGCAGCAGTAACTGGCACCTCACAAACATCAGGTATTATGTCCATTCCGATTATGGGATAGAGAGCTACACGCTGTTTGAAGCTGACAGCACATCTGCCTCCTCACTGGAGACTGATTCTGGCATCTCAGACAAGCATCTTACGAGGGATGGATTGGAAAAGGTGCCTTAGCATGTTTAACCCTAGATTCTTCCCTACCTCGGTGTAATGTTCCCCTTTTTAATCTACCTCCCTGTTTTTCCTTATTATTTTTTTAGACAAAGACAATAAAAAGTGAATTTTAATTCACATATCACTTTTTTCCCTCCAAGCTGAGTTATGGGCAGTTATTTGGCGGGAGAAGGCAGCCATTTCCATTGATACTATAATTTTTTCTTTCCTCTTTTAAAATGGCACACTTGATGCTGTGAGTACTCAGGGAGCACAGGCAGTAACAACACGGCTTGTCATGTCCACTGGCCATTTCCTAGCATCACGCTGTGAGGACTTCCACAGCCGATGCCAAGTTGACTTCAGCCAACCATGGCTTGGCAAGGCTGATGCAGCTGGCATTTTACTCCACTATCTCTTACTTGTGAATCCATAGTATGTGCGGCATGTTGGAAGAACTGAACAAATTAAAGTCAGGAATAGATCTGTGGTTGCTGAACAGCAACAAAATAGACAATGAAGACTATGTTGCTGTGGGCTTTGTGCTGTTTGGCATCTAAATTAAGTGGATAAGCTGTAATATTTGCACGAATGCTGTAATGTTTTTTAAAAAGAACTTCTAAATGAACATTCACTAAAAAGTCATTTATCTATCTTAGTTTATTTTCCCTGTTTTGTTTTGTTTTAAACTTGAATATGTCAGACTCTCTCCATTCATTGGATTACTGTGGTTTTGTAATTATGGAAATAGATCATTTCCATAATTCATTGTCATTGTAGCAAATAAATGATGGACCAGGTTGTTCCCCTACTCGTGTGACTGCACTGACCTGGAGTATTCCCCTCTCAAACGGAGAGGTTTACTGGAAAAGGATCAAAAATAATTTGTTGTGGACTTTTATAAATAAAAATCAGATCAAAACATTGGAAATATTGGAATTTCTGATTGTTCTTGATTGCATCGTTGCTTGGCTGTTTTTATGCACAGTCGAGATTCTCCGCCTCTTTGCTCAGTTTTTCCCTCACATATTTTCTTTTAACCGTGCTAGACTAACTTTGGTGCACACCCTGTTTTGATTCGCTCTCTAAAATAAGTGATATTGGCTCCTTTCCCCACCCTCTTTAAGCAAGCTTTCTTATTATTGGCTGCCACTCACAAACAGAAGTGTATACAGTATATATGTATTTATATAGTGCCAAATCACAAGAGTCACCTCAAGGTTCTATGTTACTATGACTCGGTACTATTACTCAAAATCAACTGTGTGGCTGAGATGACCTTATTAGGGATACACCCCCTTTTTGATGTCATGCAGAGCTAGGAGTATAAAAGCTGTCTGCAGCAGAGCATTTAAAGCCCTCTGAAGCTTCAGCTCTCAGGTGTTACTTCTTATTATATGCACCTCGTCATTGTAAACTTTGTTCATGTTTGGTATGATTAGCCACCATTGTTCCAGTGTGTGTTTATGTAAGACATATAATAAAGAAAAGAACAGAATACTTTATACAAAGAATACAAAGAATACTTTGCACACTTTTTCCTTTCGTTTGTTATATGATTAGCAAAAGCGTGTCTTTTCCATTGTGGAGTACTACCACAGAATATATATAATCTTCTCTGCCTAATTCAATTTCTTTTCTATGTTTTTGCTTTTTTTAAACTTGGTGGATAAATTTCTTGAGTCATGTCTGCTCCTTGCCCAAGATAGTGTTCAACAGTTCCATTTGGCAGTGCAGTGAAGAGGACTATCTGTCATTGTCAAGACATGGATGTTTGCCACTTTATTATATCTTTGTCCTCTACAGGGACTATTGACAAAAATCTCTTAAGGATTATTGCATTCACCACCTGCATATAGGGAGGGCCAGAGGTGTATTCTTGTGTTCAAGTGTATTGATTTGCTAAGACATTTGTATCTAATCTCGGTTTTCCTCCTTGCTTTGTTTTCCAGCTTATGGACCTGAAGATGAATTCAAGGGTGGCAAAGCCGATGAAGAGGAACATCTTCTGGATGATGGCCTTTCCCTGGATGGTCAAGATGCAGACTATTTTTTCAATGATGAGGAAGACGCAAGAGATCGTTATAGCTGCCAGAACTCTCCACTCAGCAATGGCACTAACCCAGATGCTGGGTATGCTTCTCCCCTCAGCACTACCAGTGATCAGCTGGTGGACCTTAAGACTACCCCCTCCTTAAGTGATCCGGACAGGGTGGAGGAGAAGCTGGGGGAAGGTAGTGAATCCATCAATGGCCTTTCACTACAGGACAGTCTGGAAAAGATGAAAGCCGTCTATGCAAACCTGATCTCGGATGCCTCTTGGTCCAATGTTGCTCTGGACATGCTTAAAAATAAACAAGGAAACAATATTTCAGCAAGCAATGGCAGTGGGAGCAATCACAAAGGGAGCAATGGATTCCTGAACAGTCATAGCCCGGGAAATGTCCATGTAAAGAACAGATGTAGCAGTAACAACACTTCAGTAACAACAAATATTACCACCAGCAGTACCAGTGCAAGAACAGTGTCGAGTAACGGCAACAGTGGCATCAGTGTAAGCTCTGGCAGTACAGGAGTAGCATATGATTGGCATCAAGCAGCCTTGGCTAAAACTTTGCAGTATAATCCGTATCAACTCCTTCCTGAGCCCAGCCTTTTCAGCACCGTGCAGCTTTATAGGCAAAACAACAAGCTGTATGGCCCAGTGTTTACTGGAGCTAGCAAGTTTAGGTGTAAGGACTGTAGTGCTGCCTATGATACTTTGGTAGGACTAACTGTACATATGAACGAGACTGGCCACTACCGAGATGACAACAAAGATGCAGAGGATGATCGAAGCAAGAAGTGGTCCAAGCCACGAAAACGTTCCTTGCTGGAGATGGAAGGCAAAGAAGATGCCCAGAAAGTTCTGAAATGCATGTACTGTGGCCACTCTTTTGAATCACTGCAAGACCTTAGTGTTCACATGATCAAAACAAAACACTATCAAAAAGTGCCTCTAAAAGAACCAATGCCAGCCCTCACCTCAAAACTGGTCCCCCCAACCAAAAAAAGAGCGTTTCAAGACTTGATGTCGCCGAGCTCACCAGAGTCCGTCTCATCTGGCATACACCTGGGAGAATCTCCAAAAGACCAAAAACTGGCCAATCCTTATGTCACTCCTAATAATCGATACGGTTACCAAAATGGTGCTAGTTATACTTGGCAGTTTGAGGCACGAAAGGCACAAATTCTCAAATGCATGGAATGTGGCAGTTCGCATGACACCTTGCAACAACTGACAGCCCACATGATGGTCACGGGACACTTTCTTAAAGTCACAAATACAGCATCTAAAAAGGGGAAGCAGCTAGTTTTTGATCCTGTGATTGAAGAGAAAATACAGTCGATTCCCTTGCCTCCCACTACCACACGGCTCCCGCCGCCCAATGGTAAGCCACACCCTGACTCCCCATTGCAGCCCTCCAGCCCTGAGGAGAAACACGAAGAAAAGAAAGATGAAGATACAGAGGACGAGAAAACTGAAGTTAGGGAACCAGAGAGACAAATAAAAGAAGAAAAAGAAGACCTCCCTGAAAAAACAGACAAACCTGAAAGGGCCAGGTCATACCAGTACCTTACAGAAGAAGATTTAGAAGAAACACCTAAAGGTGGGCTGGACATCCTGAAGTCTTTAGAGAACACAGTTTCAAGTGCTATCAGTAAGGCCCAAACAGGAACACCAACCTGGGGTGGATACCCCAGCATTCACGCTGCCTATCAGCTCCATGGATCTCTGAAGCCTTTGCCCTCATGTGCACAGGTTCAACCTTTGTTCAGTAGCACTAGTTTGAAGGTAATGTCCTCTGAGTTAGGCTCTCTGATCCATTCCCCAAATAGCCCCTCTCCACCCCCAAGTCACAAGAGCAATGTGCTGGCCATGGAAGAGCTAGTGGAAAAAGTTACAGGGAAAAGCTTAGTGAAGAATGAGAAAGAGGAAAAACCTGTAGAGAATAAGTGTAGATCTGCAAAGTCACCAGTGCTAAATCCTAAGGACAAACAGGCTTCACCGTATCCTGAAAACCTCTCAAAGATACTGAAGGACAGTGAATTGGAGGATCGGAATGAGCTAAAGGGCAAAGAAAGAGAGCAAACAGAGAGTAAAATAAATATAAAAATAAAAACTGAAGCGGATTCGCCCAAAAAGACAGTAAGCAATGGCTGCAGTAACCTGAGCATCATCACTGATCATTCACCAGAACAATCCCTTGTTAACCCTCTTAGTGCTTTGCAGTCCGTCATGAACAACCACTTGGGGAAAGCGGCAAAAGTGTCCACACCCTTTGTAGACCCATTTGCAATGCTTTATAAGATCAACAACTCTGCCCAGATTAAGCAAACAGATCCTATGAGTCACTACCACAATGATGACGACGTCAATGATGATCAGCCCATCGACTTGACAAAATCCAAAAACAGCAATGGAAGCACAGCTAAGGGGACTCTTGCGACACCTAACAGCAATGTAAACAACACCAGGCCGGTCTTCAAAGATTTCTCTCAGACATCATCGCCACCTCTAAGAGAAAATGCTTTGATGGACATTTCAGACATGGTGAAAAATCTGACGGGTCGTTTAACACCAAAGTCTACAACCCCATCTTCCATCTCAGAGAAATCCGATATCGATGGCTGTACTTTGGAGGATGGCATGGAAGAGCTATCTCCCATTCAAAGACGGAAAGGCAGACAGTCAAACTGGAATCCCCAACACCTCCTGATTCTTCAGGCCCAGTTTGCCTCCAGTCTTAGAGAAACCCCGGAAGGAAAGTTTGTAATTAGTGACTTAGGACCCCAGGAACGGGTCCACATCTGTAAATTCACTGGTCTCTCAATGACTACTATCTCACATTGGCTGGCCAATGTAAAATACCAGTTAAAGCGGACAGGGGGAACAAAGTTCCTAAAAAACATGGACTCTGGCCAGCCTCTGTTTTTGTGCAGTGACTGTGCTTCCCAATTCAGGACTCCTTCGTCCTATATTCACCATTTGGAGTCCCACCTTGGTTTTACCCTAAAAGACCTTTCGAAGCTCTCCATAGACTTAATAGAGCAGCAGGCCGTCAGCAGAATAGAGGACAAGACTTTTAGTTCACCTGGACTCACAGAAGAGGACACTGCCTCAATATATCAGTGCAAACTTTGCAATCGGACATTTGTGAGCAAACATGCAATCAAATTGCATCTTTGCAAAACACACGGAAAATCACCAGAGGCTCATCTCATCTTCGTGAAAGAGCTGGAAAAGTTCGATAAACAATGAAGTCAAATAAAGCCGATAGCATGACAGATAACTGTTGCACTATGACTCTAAGCTACAATCTGTCGTAACAGATAGTGCCAAAGCTGTATTTTTACAACACATGAAAATCGCAGGAGCTTTAATACCGCACACGGTAATTTTTCAGCTAATAAAACATGGCAGGAGCCTGCACTACAGAGGCTCTAGGCCATACAGTAAACAGTGAATTTTTTGGGTGACAAATTAAAGTAGCGATGGCACTACATAGTCACTGACAGATTGTTGCTTTCCTAATGCACTGCATCTTATCTGAGCCTTTAAAAATGGTCCACCTGTTGTTTTACAACTAAACCATGCTCTTATTTCGATCACTGTTTCAGAATCATTTTCTAAGATAAATATATTTCAACACGACTTGCATATTATTTATGAGACAGTTTGTGCATGTTTTCATGTAAACCAGTGAGTGTATTATGTCTTATGAAAATTTCAGTCATGACAACAAAACTGAAATACCCGTTTAGCAAATTTTGGATACAGCTGTTTATGTAAAGGTATATTGGGAAAGAATAAGAGTGTTTTAAAATGTTAAGGTGATTTCAGCACTTTAAGTGTCAACTGATGAAGAATTGTACGAGTAAAAAGGACAACACATTACTCTTTTTAGTTTTTATGCCCTCGACAAACATTTTGGGAAGCTGATCATAAAATCGTTCGGTTTGCCATCAAATCACAGTAAGTTTTGCAAAATATTTAGGATATTTGTTTATCTAGTAAAATATCATTTCCTGGTTGTTTCAACGTGTACAGTATTTGCTTTTGAAGGCTACCAATTTTATCATTGTGAAGCTACAGTTGTAAAGTTAATGAAGTTTAAAACTTACTGTATAAATAATCAGCAAGTATGTATACATGTATGTCAGCATATCTTGCTCTTTAAAGTTCTGCATTATTTGTACTGTGTGCATTTTTACAATGTTATTTTCTACACAAATGTGAGGCAGGGAGGCTGTATAAAGCTACAGGATCGTGTTGGACCACGACGTCCTTTTTTCAGTAACCAGTAGGTCCCTAGGTGTGGTCTACATAACGTGACAGAACTTACTGGCATCTGTTCTGATGCTTGGAACTGTATATAACATTTAAAAAAAACATTCTTCAGTGACTAATTTCCAGGTTTTGTCATCAACCCAGTTATTCAGAATGGCATTCTTTTATTCTCAGTTGTAAAATAAATTCCATGTCCTGGAATAAGATGCAGTGTTGTCTGAGTGATTTTCAGAAGAGTATAACACAGATAAACATGACTCCACAAACATTTTTTCACTATTTTTGCTGAACTTATATATTGAAGTTCCATCAATTTAATTTTTTAAACCTAATATGCTCATCAAAACACATCCGTGTTTGTCCAGGGAATTTCGAGCAGGACAAAATCCAAATAAGACCTTTGTTATCCCATATGGAAAAGAAATAGTAAAAACTTATATGATTTACTCATGAAAGTGGCCACTTTCTCATTACTTTCATATATTGTTTTAGTAAGTATCCAAAACAAACAAGTTTCATTATATAATTTTTCAAGGGATCTTATATGTGTTTTCACTTTTGTATGCTTTTCATACAAATTTCACACAAGACAGATACAAACTTTATAAGATTTATATATATCTTTTCCATATGGGATGGCTTCAGAATAATAGCTCTTTGATGAGAGAGGTTGACAGTTGGCTTTTGTAACAGACTTGCAACCAAAGATAGCCAGGAACAAAATTCTAACCGCGGTGTCTAAAAGTAGTACGACTGGTGTTATGGCTTACATATTCTCACCAACCAATACAAATGCAGCAAAGCAGCTCGAAAACAGCAATTGTTTAAAATCGAAATAGATGAATAGATGGAAATTAAAAAAATGTTGGTGATTCCAACAAAAATGAAAATCTAGTTGTGGTGAGTTAGCAAAAGCTAAAGTAAAGTCCAGGGACTGGAAATGGGTCGTTTTTAGTATTTAGGCCCGGATCATTTCCTGTTACAAGCTGGAAACAGTGGCGAAAGCTAATAATTATGTTAACAAATAGTTCATCAATGTAAAATGTAGGGAATATTTGTAACAACAGACCTACTCATATACTTAACTAAGCTAAACGTGGACATTTTAAAGATGCTAACCAAGGCTAAAGCTGTACAGAGCTCAGAGCCAGCTGTTTGGAATGAGCCACTGATCAAACCAGTTGTTTTGTTATATAAATATTTTCCATCTGGTTTTTGTTTGTAAGGGTAAAATATGTCACCTATAGTAAAGGCGGGTGTACAGCAACTCATTTTCATTTAATTATTTATACTTCTTTCCAGTAGCACAGAATTGCATTTTCATTTTTTGTCAGTGAAAGAAGCTCAGTCAAATGAACCAAACTACAGTGCCCTGTAGTCTGGTTCATTTCTTTTATTGAAAAAACTAATAAAAACCCACCTTTTTTTTCACATTGACACTTAAACGTGATCCCCGGGGAATGAAAATGAGAATTGAAAAAAGTGGAATTTATAATAAATCTGTTTTATACATGCACTGTCACACATACAGGAATTATTAACATCTATATGTCTATACGTTTTATTCATATTGGCTCTCCTGTTAAGGAGGAGATAAGTTAGACATGTTTATTAGGGCTGTGTTGCACAGTGTGGCTTACAATAAACTTATAAGACTTCTGAAATCTTGCTCCAGACATCTTAAGCTCTCTACAACAGGTTTCAAGGATGCAGTGTTATCAGTCATGTTGCAGGGTCAATATTTTTTTTATGCTCAGTTCCTGATTTTTAAAGATGGGGCCAGACTGAATTGGGTAAGCAGTGTAGGTTTTGTCCGCTGCTGATTCAAACTGAAGAAAGTGAGCCACATTTTTTTTTCAGTGATACATTTTTTGACAAATCTTCAAAAGTGTCTTTAAGTTAGTTTTTTGTAACCTTTGGACATTGTTTCGGTTAACTTAGAACTACTATAACAACAAAAAAACAGGTTTCTAACATTCTGTGTCAATAATGACCGAACTTCTCCTTTAACGTAACGTTTCATATTCTTGTTGAGCCCATCCATTACAGTATATACAAGCAGCTGTTCAGAGAATTAAACCAAATGTAAATGAAAATCTTGTTTGTCACTGAAGAAAAATATATTGTTTACCACTTTACACACTGTTGGTCCAAAAAGCCACTGAATAAAAACTTGCATACAAATTTAATACATGCCTTGTTACGATGGTATACTTCATATAGGATTAAATTGATGTAAGGTTTTTCAATTCTAGTCAGTAAATGTCTATGAGCAATTTCAAACAGAATAATCCTTTTCACAAGCAAGTGAACAAAACATTGTCATAGAAAACAGGATTTAACTTAATGGTTTAACACAGAGCCGAGCTTTATAGTTCAGCTAGTGAGACACCTGATAAAAGAGGCCATGACATGTCTTCACTGAAGGTATTTAAGTCGACACGCTCCCACCCTGCGCTGCTCTTGAACACTAGCCCGAGGCATTTCTCCCAAGAAACAATAGCGTTCCAGTGCCTTGCAGCGTGTTCTGTGTGGCAAGGAAACATAAGACGCAGCAGTGATAAATACGGAGCAGAGTCACAAGCAATAAAGTCTCACGTAACAGCAATGTGCTGAAGTACAATTCTCAAAAGATCAGCTAATGTGCGTAGATACGACTGACTCGACAGAAATGTCCAGGAAACTTTATGCACTGAAGTTTCCTCTGGGTTAAAAAAAAAAAAAAGTAAATATTTCAAAAAAGAAAAAAAATTACTTGTTAAACATTTCACTGTTACTATTTGACAAATCCTGCAACACAAGAAACAATCCCATGTGTCATTTGTTCAAGCAGCTTATATCAAATAATAGCTTAATGTTTAATTGTAACGTGAACTGTTACCAGTGACAAAGATGTCTTCTGTTTGTAGTGACGACATTTAAAGCAAAAAAGTCTGCATAACAGTGAATTTATGCTTCTGCGTTCAATCTGTGCCATAGTTGCATCATAAACACAAACACTCTGAAATGCTATTACCTGACATGTCCTACCCTTGAAATGTCATTACAGCTTGCACAGGTTTAAATGCTGGCAACAGTGTCGACCACTTGCATAAGCTACATTGTGAACTCTAGATTCAACAGGGAAGTCTAAATTAAGTTTAAGAAGAGGAGGAGGTTGGGGTGGATGGATGAGTCAATCAAACACTGCATTTTTTTTAAAGGGAGATCACCGTGTCAGAATGATTAGTTATATCTGTATATCTGTACATAATACATTTGATCGTTTACAACAGATGGACCTACAGAGAGCTGATGTGATGCCTGATGAACTTCAATCACAAATATTGTATTATTGAACGCCACAGAATAATTCTAATAAATAAAAGCAGATGAATAGGTGTAAAAAAAAAATCTGTCTCTTCTTTTATGTAACTCAGAGAATGAAATCCTTTTAAAGCTACATATGCACATATAACTCATTAAGAGATTTGTGAAATGATAGTTACATTGTATAATTATAAATAAAATACACACTATGCATCCATAATTTTAATCTAAACTTCCTTAGGAGATCAGTAGTAGAGCAACTTGTGAGAACTGTCCTCTCCAGCATCACTCACTCGGTACATTCATTATTATGTTGTCAACATACAGCTCTGACATGTCGCTTCGTATATGTCCTCTCACACAAACCGTCTTTCTCTTGTCACAACTTATACAAAAGCTCCACGTATGACTTTGTCAGGCAGTCAGTGTTCTGTTTGTTCTTGCATGACTCTTGTTTGCTTAAAAAAAAAAAAAGACACAAAATAAATTGGCTCCGTGTCATCACCATTATCAGACGAACAGAGGCTCACAAGACAGCAGCGCAAATCTGATGTTAAACAAAAGGCTGTTTATGACAACAGGCGTCATGATGCAGGCTGTTATCCATTTATAATAATCGAAACAGAACGCTTCAAGTCGCAGTAAGCTGTTCTGGTACTGAGTAGCAACATCTGTACATCCATGAAGAATTACATGTCAGGGAGCGACGGCGCGGGCGGCCTTTGAATCCTTGTGACACGCATACATGTGTACTCGTGCCGACAGCGAGGGTTTGGCGAATTAACCTCGTCCTCTTCCATCCCCTCTCGGTGCTCCCTGAGCAACCTGTACAGCAGCACCTCGCTTTCAAAATGCACGCTCGCTATAATGAAACATAGGGGTGAAAATCTCTCTGCTACAGCACCGTGGCAAAGCGGACAATGTGCTTTCATTTAAGCAGTTTCTGCTGTGAGGCTACAGTTAGTAAAACCACATGATTTTTTATTTTCTTTAATTTTAGGATTATAA